CCTCCATCCTCACCTCACATCTCAGAAACATCACCTGCCTCTCTCTCCCTTTTTTAAAATCTTTTATAAATATCACATTTAAAATCTGCACAGATGTTTGGAAATATTTAAGTTGAATGAAAGGAGGAAAATGTTTGTTTTTAACGTGTTTTTTTAAGAGTTGAACGAGTTTTACTTGATGCTGGATTTAAAACAGGCCTGAAAGTTCAACTCCTCAATAATCGGATTATTTGTGGGATTATTTGGTGACAGGAAGGTTGTGGTTTTCAGGAGATGCCCCTCTGACAGGCGGGGGGCAGCTTTTTTAAAGGTTTTCACTCAGATCTGACATTTCTGCAGTCTGAACCACTCTGACATGTGAGGCAGAGCTCAGATTAATTTTAATCTAATTCAGAAGTGCAGAAACTCATTAGAGGGCAGCGGTGTTGAAATAACTCTTTGTGCTTTTCTGAGACAAAGTGTGGCCCTGTAGTTTCTTTAGTTTTGTGTGTTTTTGTTGAGAGAGAACAGGTTGTGGCACATGAGCGGTGATTTTTCTCCTTTTATCTCTGCAGATCTGTGGCAGCTCGAGGTTTCTTGTCTTATCCGGCCAGTACCTCCTGACACACTCAGCCCTTTTCCTGTCTCAAGTCTGTCACTTTTTGTCACAGCGCAACAAACTCTGAACGTCTCAGTATCACTGCAGGCCGCCTCTTTATCAGTTCGTGGCTCAGAAAGTGGCACAGATCTGCGTCCCCCGGCGGTGCCGACACATTGGGCTGGAATCTTGTTTGGCTGGAATGATAAGCATCAGAACGTGACGACAGCAGCTCGGCTGAAACATCTGCCGCGGCGCATCACGGCGTAATTAAAGCCTTTCTGTCGCCTCTTACAATAACCCCTCTGAGATTTACAGTCAGGAGGGTCGCTTTGGAAAGAACAGGTGACGCGTTTCTGTCCTTTTTTTCACTCTTTCAACTCGTCACGCTTCTCCTTCGCCCTCAGACACTTTGGTTTTGTTTTCATTACCACTAATCGAAACTAGTGCACGCTGCGTTTACTGTACTGTAGTAGTAGTGCACGAGCAGGAAACCAGCAGGTTCTGCAGCCGCTCGACTTTTAAATCCCACTGACACGTCTGCAGCTCTAATCTGGATTCTGCGTCTCTGAGGCGCAAACTGAGAATAATCTGAGGCTGCAAACTTTGTCCCGCTGTCCTGAGAGACCAATTAGTGTCTGAGTCTGAAACAGTTTGTTTCTTTTTTTCTGCTTTTATTTTAGAATCAGGCTGAAAAATTTAAATATTTCAGGAATCAGATCCAAGATCTTCATCTGTGACGTCCTGCTGCAAAATCTCTCATTTTAGACCCAAAATTCTTCCTTCTTTAGGTAAAAAAAACCCTCAGAGAAACAGCTAAAATATCATAATCTGTGAGTTCCTGCTGCTTAAATCTCCAACATCAGATGAAAAATCAGCCGACTGCTTTAAGAAACCGACAGAATCAGCTTCAGTCTCTTTGTCTTTGAATCCCTGCTGCAAAACAAAGTTACATTTCTCATTTTAGATGAAAAACTCTTCCTCTTTTTGTGTAAATTTTTCTGATTCTTTTAGAAAAAACTCTCTCTAAACCAGATTACTTCAGGAAAAAACTCACAGAAAAACAAAACTTCAGCAGAATCAGCTGCAGTTTCTCTGTCTGCGTCTTTTTCCTTTAAAACACCAGACTTGTTTCATGTTTTCTTATAAAAAGCTGCAAAATTTCTCATTTTCGATCCAAAATTTTGTCTCTTTTTATTAAAAACACTGAAAATCATCTCTAACATCTTTAGCTTTGCAAAAAAAAAGCAAAATTTCTTATTTTAAACAAAAAAATCATATTTTTTGAAAAAAAAAACTAATTTTAGGAAAACGCAGAGAAACTGCTAAAACATCTTTATTTGTGAGTTCCTGCAGCTTCAATCCTCTACGTAAGATTAAAAAAAAATCAGCTGATAATCCAGATTACTTCAGGAAAACTGGACAGAATCAACTCCAACACCTCTATCTTTAAATTCCTGCTGCAAAAAAAGCAAAAAATCTCATTTTAGATCCAAAACTCTTCAATGTTTTGAGTAAAAACCTGATTATTTTAGGAAAACACAGCTAAAGCATCTTTATCTGTGATTTCTTGCTGCAAAAAAGATGCAAAATTTCTAATTTAGGTTAAAAATTTCTTTATTTTTGTAGAAAAAGAAACAGATTATTTAAGGAAAATTGTCTTTAAACCAGATTAGAATCAGCTGCAGTGTTTCTATCAGCTCATCTCTTGGCAGCAGGGATTATAAATCTGGAGTTTTTTTTCCAGTGTTTGCAGAGTTTGGAGCCTCCTCGCTCCGTCGAGGCTGATATCTCAGCTAAAACCATTAATCGTCTTTCTTTAGCGCCTCGATAATTATCGCTGTGGCAAAATAACAGCTCAGCAAACAGTGAAATTATACCTGTGGTAGGGAGTGGAGTAAATACCTGTTTAGCTGCCAGCAAATGTATTTATTAGACTGTCGCCAGTAAATAAGAGGCCTGTCTCGTTTTTTATTATGTGTGGCTCTTCGGGGATTCCTTCCCTCCCTGCTGCTGTAAAATATCACCAGTGTTAATAGAGGAGAGAGATAACAATGATGGTTTTTTCTGTGTGTTCGTGTTCGGACTCGTTCGAAGGGAGAAAAGTTTGTTGAGTTAATAATGATCGCTGCATTCCTCAGCTCACACCGTAAGCCCACCTCTCAGATGAGCCACCCTGAGCGCTCGGCTCGGCTCGGCTCGGCTCATCGTCAGCCGAAAAGTTTCTCTGCAAAGAACCGAAGCTGAGACGAGGTGGTGGGGGGGGGGGGGGGGCTCAGTTTCTGCAACACGTTCTTATTCTCAGATTCCCCCGGCTCAGCGACAAAAGCCTCACGTTGTTTCAGTGTCCGTCACGTCGCGTTGGTCACGCTTCTCCAGCATCCCTCCTTTTTTAAGGTTCCCTCTCCGACGATGCTTCAACTTTTCACCATTCAGACGTCTCGTCGTGTTTATTTTTTAAGATTAAAAAGGAAACTCGTTGTCTTTTTTGTTCCACTGCTTGTTTATATATATA